ACAAGAGAGATAAAAAGTAATTATTTTAAAGGCGATAATTATGACATGTTTGGTTGCGTAACTCGATTAGAGTTGTACATTGTATGTGTGGTTCAGTTGTTATAGTATTGTTGGCGCAAAGTTACTCGAATCTTCGGTATTTTTCTCGTTACCTTATAGCGTCGCTCGCGTAGTTTATAGAAAGTTCGAGGCCTCCGTGAGCAAAATATAAATATAGGGGACCAAGCAAGCGCAAGTCAAGAAGAGAAAAAGTGAATTGAAAGTAAAGTTCGGTCAGAAAAAAAGTGAGAAAACATGAAGTTAGCGGAGTGTGAGTGACTAGCCATAAATGACGATAGTTTAAATTGAGTTTCACAGTTTAATAGAGAAAAGGAGAATAATTTGTCTTGTCAAAGGGTGCTCTAAAGTAATTGAACTCGTCTGTGTGGATTTTGACGAAAAGTTCGAGATATAGCTGTGGTTACCCATGGAGTAATGTAAGTGAATCTTTCACAGATTGTACAGTAAAAAACAAAGTAGAGAGAAATAGTTCATCTTGTCAATTAGATTCTAAAGTAATTAACTCAGTCTGAGTGTACTTTTGGCAATAAAAGAGAATTATTTAGAGTTTTAGATGCGACTGTGATATCCTATAGTGTAAATAATTTTGTACATACGTTTGACTTGTTTTGAATACATCATTTTAAAACAAGTGGATTGTGTGCTGTCCGTTTATTGTTCGAATTTATCGCCAAAAAGTCACAGAGACCTACAGTAAAAGAATCTCAGCCCACATACATCCTTAAAACCCTGACAGCGATGGAGGACTAGCGCTATTTTGTGTTTTCTATGGTTGAAGTGGAGAAAGATCTTTTAGGAAGATTTTCCATTCACAGGAGGATCTGCAAACTGTCTCAGAAATTACTCATATTTTTTTCAGCTTCTGTGAGATCTGTTTAAAACACACTACTTTATAGCAAACCCAACTGCACCGATGCTCCAAGATTAACTTGTCTTAGGTCAGACACCACTGATGATCTCCCATTCGTTAATCCCCACCCCACATCAAGCCTGAGATGTTTCTCGTGTTAAGAAAGCATTTCTACCACCAAGTTGGTCTTTCAGACAGACACACTGTGCCGAATGAGAGTTCGATTATATATATATTGAGTATGTAACAATTTTCATGTATGAGATATACTTCATAGGAATGGTACAATCAAATCAGTAGCTGTTGCAAAACATGATTTTATAAATTGTTACTCAATTTCGAGGAAGTGTAAAAATTTATCAAATATTTGTTGCAAAGCTCAAAGCAAGGGCAAAATAATCAGATAAATTATTATGAAACTGAGAAGAAAAAGATGAAATAATTTTATTATTTAATATAAAAGTGAAAGGTAGGGTAAAATAAAGTTTTCACTTATAGAAAAGTGTTTGGTTCCAAAATAACGCTAGATTCTATTAACTTTATTGTTTGTTTGTTTGTTTG